TGAGGCGCTCCAGCTCGCCGCCCGCCTCGTCCGGGCCCAGCGCCGAGCCCCGCCGGCCATCCTCGCTGATGGTGGGCATCACCTCGCACATCATGGCGGCGGTGCCGGCCTGCGGGTGCACAGAAGGGGCAAACTAGCCTTGCCAGGGCTCAGGCAGAGAACCGAGGCGCAGCTAGTGTAGCACTTCCCGGGGCCCCAGTCCACGCATTGCACAGGGGGCAACTGAGGTCAGCCAAGCTGATCATGACACGGGGAAACTAAGGTACAGCCACATGGTGGAGAGGCAGGGGAACTAAGTGCTGGCCGCCAAGAGCGGGAAACCTGAGGCCTGTCCTTTGTAATCATGACGTAGATAAACTGGGAGTCCATTGCTCTTAGATACACAACGGGGGCCTCTTAGGTAAAAGCGGGACTCTTAAGGCCTAGCTCCGCCAGACTCTGGTAGCAAACCAAAGCCTGGCCACTCAGGAACTGAGTAAAGCTGGAGGACCAGTCACTGGCTGAGTGGGTTAAAACCAGCCACTATTGTGGCTCCGCTTGAATCCCCAGCCCACTCCATAGATGAGGAAACGGGGGCCCAAACGAGAACTACGCCTTGGAAAAGTCATGGGGCTTCGGGTACTGAGTTGGGTCGCTAGGCTGTGATTTGCCCATCTCTCTCTGTGATCTAAAGACCAACACTCCACTTGAAAGAATAAGAATAAAAAACCAGCAAGAGAGCTGGAGGTGTAGCTCAGTGGTAAAGCATATGCTTGGCACAATGTGAAGCTCTGGGTTGGATCCCCCAGAAAATAAAGTACCCATTTATTAAGCTAGGCAAGGTGGTGTATGCCTGTAATCCCAGTACTTGGGAAGTGGAATCAAAAGGATCAGGAGTTCAAAGTCATCCTCAGTTATTTTAGGGAATTCTGGCTCGGCCCGGGGTTACATTAGACCCTTTCTCAAAAAACAAAAACAAAACAAAAATGCATAACGGCAAGCAGGGCTGAGTCATCTCCCTCAAGTCACAGGTGTCTAGGGTCTCCACAGCCTGTCGCCCCCTACATCTAAGGGTCTGAGCCTCCAACAATGTCTTCGCGGACTCCTCTTTACTTATAGTGGCTCTAGATGGCCTGCAAGACCCATAAATCTAAGCCATTGGACCCTTCTGCCCGCCCACTCGGCATCTAGACATTTTAGGATGCTTCTCCAGCCCCGCCCTCATGAGGCGTTAACCAAGAGTATGGGAGAAGAAAGGGGCGGGGTTTATAGGGCCGGAAGGCGGGACTTGGCCCCCGCTGGCCAGGGGCGGGGCGGAGATGTAGAGAAGGCTAGGGAACCTCTCCCTGGGGCTCTTCAGGTCCAACAGGTCCATCTGGCCTGGCCGAAAGCAGGAGGGACTTTCATTCCCCCACACACACCCCAATCCATGCGGCGGCCTAACCGGTTTGAAATTGGATATTTCCCAACTCCACCCAAATGAGAACTGTGACCAAAGCCTAGAACTAGGTCCTTGGATTCCTGTGAGAAGAGGATGCAGGGCTCTGGAATACAGGAAAGAATGCAACTGGGTCCCTAGATCTCCTTTGTCTTTAAATTATAGGTCTGAAACTCTACACCTCCCAGAAACCGAGTTCAGGAAAACGTTTATGAGAGAGAAGGCCAGCTTTAGGCTGGACCCCAATATGGAAGCTCAACCCCACACTCGAGTCAGAACACACAGCCTAGGATGATTTAGGTCGCTGTAGACCTCGGATTCACTGAGAAGAAAGTGGGTTGTCGGGCTGGAGAAATGGCTCAGTGGTTGAGCCCTGTCTGCTCTTCCAGAGGACACACAAGGCAGCTCACCCCTGTCTGTAACTCCAGTTCCAGGGCTTCTGACGCCCTCACACAGACATACATGCAGGTAAAACACCAATGAATATAAAATATAAATAAATCATTAAAGGAAAGAAAGAAAGTGGACATTCAGTGTCACCAAGATGCTACGTAATGCAGAACAGACAAGAACTTCCACACTGAGCATGTGACTGAGGGCAAGAGCTGCTTGCTATGCTACAACTGAGGTCTGGAAGGTAAAGCCAACGCAAAGCAACCTGGTAATATAAACAGATGTCTGTGTCACCCAAGAGCCCAAAACACAGAGGTGAGCAAAATGACACCGAGGAACATCCCTAATGCAGAACATAGATCTGGTCAAAAGACAGAGTCTAGAACTCAGAGCTCGCTCAGCGTGAATGCATGGACACAAAATATAAGCCAAGCCCACAGCTGATCCCAGGTGAGGCAGGAGGATTGCAAGTTTAAAACTAGCCTTAGGAAATCCTCTTCCAAACACACACACACACACACACACACACACACACACACACACCAGGATCAGCAGGATGGCTCAGTGGGCAGAGGCACTTGTTACCAAAACTGGAGACCTGAGTTTGCGTCTCCGGGACCCATATGGTGTAAGTAGAGAACCTACTCCTGTGAGTTGTCGTTTGACCTGCACACACACACTGTGGCGTGTGTGCACATATACAAAAACAACAAAAGTGTAGTAAACACAGAGAGATACAAAGAGATTCTCTAATTGGGGTGCAGGGTGTCAGGAAACAAGAACGTTTTGAGGCTGAAGACTCTATAGAAGGAGTCAGCCTAGAACAGACTTAGAACGCCAAAACAGCAGATGGAGATTAAAGCCTATGTCCCCCGAGGGACAAGTCTGACACCAAAGCTAAGGCCACAGTAAGGAAAAGAAAGGAGTCGGGAATTGAGAAAACAGGAACCTAGAACCTGAGGCTTGAAAAGATAAGAAGGCTGCTCTGGAATCTTCCAGGTTTAATATTGTGCAAGCTACAGAGATTGGAGAGGTGGCTCAGCAGTTAACAGCACTGGCTGCTCTTCCAGAGGACCTGGGTTCAATTCCCAGCACCCACATAGAAGCTCACAACTGCTGTAACTCCAGTTCCAGGGGATCTGGCACTCTCACACAGACA